TATAATCATTTTTATAAATATTTTGAGCTTTATTGTGTTTCTATTATTTCCTGACGTTTAGGATTTTTTCTGATTTATTTAAACCCAATAAAAAACAGCTGAGTTTTTTTCTATTTTATCCAAAAATCTATTTGATTTCATTTTAATTCAATCGACAGTAGGTCGAAGGAAAATCAATCGGAACGTGGCACGATTGCGGTAGAGTCGTAATGCATGCATATAAATAATATCAACATATTTGAGTCGCTATTAAAAGGCCAGCACGTGAGTAAATGGAAATATAAAAATAATATAATTGAGTGTGCGCTGAATTAAACGCGCATTTATTGGCTGCGGTTGAATTCATTTCAATTTTTAATTATGCGCGTAATTCTTTAATGCGGTTCCATTTTAGGCTAAATGCGCATGCGAAATGCTGAATGCTGAGGGCAGGCTTTACGAGTATTAAAGTGGGACGGATATCGATTGACTGAATGAGTGGGGGGAATAACTGATTAATTTATTGATTAAATATATGATTGATTTACTGAGTGCTAAAATGTGAGATTGACTGATTGATTGACGGAATGACTGATACACGAAAGGCTGACTCACTGTCTGATTGAACAGAAACAGAAAACGGCTGTCTGATTGACTGTTGAGCCAAGTGATTGAATGATTGATGCTGACAAATTGTCTGGCTAATTCTCAGATTTGCTGATAGACTTTTTGATTAATTGATGAACTGACTTACTGATTCCTGAATGATTGATTTGCTGATAGACTGACTGGTTAATTGATTTCTTGACTGATTGAAATCATGTCTATTTGAAATCATGACTGATTGTCTGGCTTATTGACAGATTTACTTATTTAATGACTTACAAAAAACTGACTGATTGATTAATGGATCAATCAGTCAATTACCCAACCAATAGATTGATTGAATATATAAAAATAGTATTGGAATTGAAAATGGATACAAACCAAACCATTAAATCATGAAGAAATTTAACGTATTTTATTAAAATTATGATTAAAGTCCAAATCGTAAGAACTTAACAACTTGAATTTTATACAAAAGTTTCTGTTAGGAAAACTTTTTTTTTTTTTTTCATAGAAACAAACTTTCATAAAATTTCAAAGAAAACTGAAAGGAAATGTTTGCAAGATAAATTTCTGTATGGCATCCATTTAACCAGCTGTAGATAATGGATTAAGATAGAAGGGTGTGCTTTCAATTTGGCCACAGACAAAAGCTTTGAATAATTAATAACAAAGATTGGAATAAACTCACCTTCATGGAAGAACGCCAACTAGAAAGTGCTGCGTCAAGGATTCACGGATTCACAGTTTGTGTTTAATACTGAGCAAATTGCTATGCTGGCTATGCTTGGCCTGTTGCGATTGTTGATTAGCATGCCACTGGCGATGGCAGCAGCAGCGGAAGCAGGCACATTAGCTTTTCAATATTAGATCTTTGCTTTTGCTCTGCTTCTTCTTTTTTAACACTTTTCAATTAAGGTGGAGCAACTCAACTGAAAAAGAACCGAACTGAACTTTCACTTCAGATGCGCTGCTATTATGCATTTTTATTGTGCGCTGATTACTTCTCATTGTTGTGCGTAGCATGTGTGTGTGCCTGTGTGCATGTGTGTGTGTGTACATATTTGTTAAACAATGCATACATTTATGTTAATATTTGCACTCGTACAATAACAGAGAACTCGCATCACTGGGTATATAAATCGCTCAATGCTGTTGCTGCTGCTGCTGCTGCTGCTGCTCCTGAGGCAAATAGCGTATACGCCGCGTATGAGTTGCCATTGAAATTGCGCTAATGGCATTTCAATAACGCATTTGCAACCGCAGCTCTTTTGCAACAAACATTTCTGGAATTTTAAATAATCTGTGCGTGTGTGTGTGTGTGTGTAAGCGTGTTTTCATATGTATTTCAGTGCGACGTGTTGAATAAAACATTTGGGAAACATCCTTTGAATTATTCAAAATTCATTCCAACACAAAACTTCTCTCTTTTACACTCTGTCATAAAGTGGGCAAATCGATTTTGCATGCGACAGGCATTTTAAGGTCGACTGGTAATGAAAAAGTTATCCTCGTTTTGGTTTTTCTTGTTTTTTTCGTTTACTAACTTTTTGGGTTCTCACAAATGGCATTTCAACACCAAAATAAAAACAAACAAATGAAATAAAATATACGGTCAACTTTCGTAACAAATGTGGCAAGTGGCTTGTTTATTTGCAACATCAAAGATATCTAAGTTGAAAGTTAGAGCAAATCTGTAACTATTTCATAGAAACATACAAAGGCCACTTGCTTACTTTACAATATCAATATTTTGTGATTTAATAAAAAAAAAAATGTTTTTTATCATAGCTGAGGTAATATAGCAAATTTTTGTATCATAAATTTTGTATATATAATAATTTTTATTTTTTCTATTATTTAATTTTGTTGGCCTGAGATCAATATAATTTGGCTGATTGAATAAATTCAATAATTAACTTAAGCAAATTCTCAGACTTTTTATTTTATTTTAAAAATTCGTCCAATAAGACTTTTTTTGAAAATCAATAACCAATAATTTGTTAATCATTTATTAAATATGCCAAAAATTCAACAGAAGTTTTCTGTAAATAAATATCTTATTTATTCACTTCAATGATTTTTCACTGCAGCTTCAAACTACATGAACTCAAACAATATTTCCAAGTACTCTGACCTTCGATTATCATAGCTTAAAACCTTGTTTTCTATCTGTTTACGAGTGCACCGTTTCGACAACTTATTGCAGAAAAATATTACACTTATGCGAGTAAGAAAATAGAAAGTCTTTGATGCCAGAACTAAGCCTGCCCAAGCAGAAAAGTGAACAACAGATTTTTGTTTTTAATGCGAACTTAACATTCTTTTTATGACATTGAAAGTCGCTGTTGATGCTTCCCAAGTTGCCTTTTTTGTAGCCTTTTTTCAGACTGACAGAGAGAGAGCTAGAGAGAGAGAGAGAGAGTATAAGAAAGACAGGCAGAGAGCGCGCGGTTACCTGTTACATGCTATGTGAATGAGCATATAGACCGTTAGATCATGCTGCTCAGTTAACGGACGCTCTGTTCGAATTCGAAATTGAAATCGTAAATTTCGAACATGCAAATGCGATAGATTGTCAAATAAATATAAAAAGAAAATACACACAAATAACATGAAAAGTCGTAAGAAAACAGAGCCATTGAAAGGACACACGCTCGCACTCACACACACACACATGACAGTTGCAAATGTACATGTATCCTCCGAACAGGCACATAAAAATGTAATACTTTTTTTTGCCTGACGATGATGATGATAATATTTTCTGATATTTTCATTACATTGTTGTGCTTTTACGACTGTTATCCTTGAGTGAAGAACTTGCTACAGGATGCTAAAACCAACACGCATACACACACACACACATACACAGCAGTCAAGCAAAACCTCTGAGCCTTACACACACAAATACAGTCTCACGCACACGCACACACGCATGCGAGGTGAGCGAGCTTTTTCCACATAATGTCTAAACCGTTAGTTTTCAGAGACTGCAAGAAACCGAGTGGGCAGATATTTCACCTTCGCACTTTGGGTTTTTTTTTTAGCTGTTACAACGGAATTATTATTATATTTTGATGATTTTTTAAAATAATTTTTTTATAAATCTTTTTAAAAATATTTTACACTTTACACCAGCGATCAACACGGCTTTTATTATTTTTTCATATTTAACTGCCTTGGTTGAGTTGTTGAGTTTTAGCAATTTATGAATAAATTTTTTAAATATTTACAAACGCGCCTTGAAAGCGTGAGCACAACACACGAGATGTTGTTCCGCTGCTCGTTGAAATTGAACTGAATGCTAACAAGTACACGACAGCCTAACCACGCACAACTACATATGCAGTAGGCATGCGAGCTTTTTTACACGGACCGACGATGCGTGGGTGGCCACAAAGAGCGAAAGCACCAAACAGAATTGGTGTACGTTGCTGTGCAAGTATGTAGAAACAGCAACACAAGAAATAAGGAACTGTTTCCCTTAAATAATTAAATCTAGAATTTTAAATATTATTAATAATATTTATCATTAAAATAAACTTGTCTGTGTTTTATTAAAATAAAAAACCTAGTATTATTTTTTTGTTTTATTCAAATAAAAAAAGTAGTATTAATTAGTAGTAGTAGTATTAATTTCAAATTAAATATGTTATGTAAATCCTATCGATAGTACGTGCCTATCGAAAATTATAACAACATGTCCAGCCCTGACCATTTCATGTGGGTTGTCAGCCCTTATAACCAAAACAAAACAAATCATTTGACTGTTCAGAAAATAAATAATAAAAAGAATGTCTGATGCTTATGCATACGCTGCCAAGGGCAAACTAAAACTCAAATGCGATTCGGAGCTCAAGAAAAAGAAGAAGAAGAAGCATAAGAGCAAGGACAAAGAGAAAGAGGAATTGCAACAAGCATATGTCGAGCAGCAAATCAACGAAGCTGCTAATGGAGCTGTACAAGCCTCAACATCAAATTCAAGTGGATACCAACGTAAGCTGACCAAAGCAGAACTGGCGACCAAAAAGCAGCAGGAGAAGATGCGAAACAAACGCATAATGGACAAGGCACAGACAACGCACAAGCAGCGCGTAGAGAAATTCAATGAGCATCTGGATACCCTGACCGAGCATTTCGATATCCCCAAGGTCTCGTGGACGAAATAAGCAAATGCATCTATTTGCTTGCTTTGCTCTATATCTATCTATTTGCGATATGAGGAACTGGTAGAGCTAATGATTCTGTCGATCACTACCGCAATCGCATACATCGTATATAAACCTAAGCTAAATTAATTAATTTCTTGAGACCTATTCAGCAATCCATTAAATCTGGTCAGCTAAATATCTTCATGCTAATTGAAAAGAAGAAGACAATGCATCGTTAGTTTAAACATTTCCGAGTGTTAATATATATATTAAGCATAATTTTGACTAAATATTATGTTTTGTTGATAGGCCAATATAAATGGCTGCATTAAACTAAATACATTTACGGTAATACATATACAAAAAACAACTTAAACGAGATGTTTCCAACATTCAGTCCACTTTCTAAAACAAGGCTACGAAATTGTTTTCAATGCGGTGCCATTAGCTCCAGCATAGCATACTTCCATGTCCAGGCACGTACCAACTGCTCGAAACGTGAACGCTCATGCTCGTAGATATAGCCCAGCTCCGGCTCCATGCAAACCTCAGTGTAGGGATCTGTGAGCAAACTTTGCACCGACAACAAAACCTTGGCCACATTTAGAGCCAGCGACCAGTTTTGCTGCTGGAATATATCGATGCCGACATCCCCATGCCTGGACACATTCGGATGAAGGATTTTGGTTAGAAAACGCACCGTTGGCGGTGTCATGGGATAGCGTTCCGGGAAGTATATGAAGAGAAAGAACTTGCCGCCCTCGTATGGGCTGCCCGGCGGACCGAGTATCGTTGCTTGCCAATAGTTATTTTGTCGATCCAATGGTATGGCCGATATGCCCTCCGCTTCGTAGCTATTCAACAGATTCGCTTCGCCGCGCAGAAAGTTATTGCGTATCATATTACCCAATTCGCCAGCTGGTGGCGACTGGCTGCCCAGATCGATGAGGCAGGTGCGACAGAAGCAAGACGACATCAATGCTCCATACAACTTATACCAGTCCGGTTGCTCGGCGAGGCACTCGAACAGCGGCCAGCGCTGTTTAATGTAGGTCTTCCACATAGTCTGAGCCGTATTCTTGACAATAATCTCGTTCCACTGCTTACACACTTCGCTGGCCATCCACAGCGACATGTCATCCAAGTATGCAAATATTTTCAACATCACCTCGACGGGTATGCGATTTGTGATGCACTTGCTGCCACTGCTCCCGCTGCTGCTGTTTCCACTGTTGTTTGCATTGTATTCATGCGCCCGAGCACGTCCGTCGGTCAGCTCGAGCATGTAATGGGGCAGAGCGTGTGGGGCGGCGGGGCGAGGCCGTTTTATGGGCAACAAAAATGGATTTACCGCACGTTCATGCTCGTAATCACGCTCGGGTGTACCTCGTCTCGCAGGCAATGCTTGTGGTTCCACTTGAGGCTCTGCCTGTTGCTGCGCAGGCTGTGCTTCTTCTATATGCTCAGCTTCATTGTTTGCCGGTTGTTGTAATTGCGGGTGCGGTTGCTGCTGTTGTTGTTGTTGTTGCTGCTGTGGTGCAGCTGGTGCCGCATCTTCTAGATCTTCGAAGCCCATTATATCCGCATCGTTTTCAGTTTCATCGTCCTCTTGTTTGTCCTTGAAAGGCGGCTCATCATTGCCGGAGTCCTCGTCGTCCGACAATTCGGTCAGCAGCTCCTCAGCCCGTTGTGCATTGTATAGAAAAGCATGACAGGCACCGCAGAGCGGCTCACCGAAATTCGGTCCGTAATAGCCATTGCATACCCAGCACGCATGGCTGTTCTGCAGTTGCCAAGGAAGATCACAAATTATATAAAATAAAATGTCTTTCATTTTTATTTTTTGTATACACACCGAAAAACTGAATGTGGGCTCTGTAAGTAATTGTTTATCTTTTTCCTCCTCCTCAGCGATGTCACCTGAGTTATCCATTTCATCGTCACTGGCATTCAGTTGCTCCAGCAACTGCTCATCGTCTTTTTGCTGCTGCACGCAGCTAGTCATTTTTGTAATCCGTCGAAAATTGTTATAAAAAAAAACACAACTAATGTCTTCTTCGTCATGCAACGTAAAGGTATCGATTTTGTATCGATACCGATAGCAATGTTAGAGACGCGTTTATGTGTAGGAAGAAGATTGTTTTGTATTTTCATTTGAAGCTGACGTCAGAACTTTAGAAGTGATTCGAATAGAACTACTATATCATATATATTATAGAATTAGGAAAGTTATACTAGCTTTGTGGCTTTTGGCAATAGCATACAAGTAGTCAAGCTAAAATGAATATATATTTAAGTACCAATTTTGATTGTGACGTCATAAAGTATTCATCCGCGTTGCAACCTCTTCATTTTACATTGCCTATTGGCAACCACAGCGTCACACGTGCAATATTTATAAAATTTCGCCAGACATAAGATGAGGCCGAAAAATAAACTAGGTCTGATTAAATTGTAAATAAATAGTATATTAATTAAAATATAATTAATTTTAATTCCGTCGCAGCTGTGGGTCTTACCCGCGAAGAGCGACAGGTGCTTGTCATCGGCGAAATCATACAGGAACTGCTGAAGGCACACGAAAGCAAAAAGGATGTGAATCTGAATCGCATGAAGTCGCTGATATCATCCAAATATGGACTAGATAGCTCTCCACGTTTGGTAGACATTATAGCAGCAGTACCGCACGATGCAAAGAAAATACTTCTGCCCAAATTGCGCGCCAAGCCAATACGAACTGCTAGCGGAGTAAGTAAGGACTCCTTCTACTTAATGGTTTATTTATAGTATAGATTTTTTTAGATTGCCGTGGTTGCTGTCATGTGCAAGCCGCATCGTTGTCCGCACATCAATTTCACGGGCAACATTTGCGTCTATTGCCCCGGCGGGCCGGACAGCGATTTCGAATACTCCACACAATCGTATACAGGCTACGAGCCCACGTCAATGCGTGCTATACGCGCACGGTACGATCCTTTTCTACAGACCCGTCATCGTGTTGAACAGCTGAAACAACTAGGCCATTCGGTTGACAAGGTGGAGTTTATTGTTATGGGAGGCACTTTCATGGCCCTGTCGGAGGAATATCGGGATTATTTTATACGCAATTTGCACGATGCCCTCTCCGGCCACAGCAGCGCAAATGTAGCTGAAGCTGTGCGGTATTCGGAGAAATCGAGAAGCAAATGCATTGGCATCACAATTGAAACACGACCGGATTATTGCCTCAAGCGTCACATAACGGATATGTTGAATTATGGCTGCACGCGCCTGGAGATCGGTGTGCAGTCAGTCTATGAGGATGTGGCCAGAGACACGAACCGTGGCCATACGGTGGCCGCGGTATGTGAAACCTTTAAGATGGGCAAAGATGCCGGCTACAAGATTGTCACACACATGATGCCCGATCTGCCAAATGTTGACTTTGAGCGTGACATCGAACAGTTTATTGAATACTTTGAAAATCCCGCTTTTCGCTCAGATGGCCTGAAGATCTATCCCACTCTGGTCATACGTGGCACTGGCCTCTACGAGCTTTGGAAGACGGGTCGCTACAAGTCATATCCACCGTCCATGCTGGTTGACTTGGTGGCCAAAATCTTGGCATTGGTTCCGCCCTGGACGCGTGTCTACCGAGTACAGCGTGATATACCTATGCCTTTAGTTAGGTAAGATCTAAATCATAATTGAATTCAAATTCTCTTGATCTCCAATCCAATTCTCTTCCATCCACAGCTCTGGCGTTGAGCATGGTAACCTGCGTGAACTGGCGCTGGCTCGCATGAAAGATTTGGGAACCGTTTGTCGGGATGTGCGTACCCGTGAGGTTGGCATTCAAGAGATCCACAACAAAGTGCGTCCATACGAAATTGAATTGATACGTCGCGATTACGTTGCAAATGGCGGCTGGGAGACGTTCTTATCGTACGAGGACCCCGAGCAGGATATACTTGTGGGTCTGCTGCGCCTGCGCAAATGCTCTTCGGAGACTTTCAGACCAGAACTGCAGGGTAATTGCTCCATTGTGCGCGAGCTGCATGTTTATGGCTCGGTGGTGCCCGTCAGCTCTCGAGATCCAACCAAGTTTCAGCATCAGGGCTTTGGCACTCTGCTCATGGAGGAGGCGCAGCGCATCGCTGTCGAGGAGCATGAGAGCACTAAGATTGCTGTTATCTCAGGTGTTGGAACTCGCAACTATTACCGAAAACTCGGCTATACATTGGAGGGTCCCTACATGGTGAAGGATCTGACTCAATATCGAAAAGAATTTGAAGCGCTAAATTCGATGGGTTGGTAGATCCAAACCTATTTTCTATGCATATAACTTTAATATATAAGCTTTAAAGTGAAACAACTGCTTTGTACAATTATTGTTTGTCAAATATATATATACATARATATATTACATAAAGAATTATTTGAGGTTTTTAACTGTGGAGGGCATAATATAATATTGAATGAAATATTTAAATTGATGGAATTTATGATATGTTAAAACTATTATAAAAAATAAATGCCTAATTTGTACAAACATTGTTTTAAATTTATATATATTCGTATGTTGTATAAATAGCTGATTGTTTTGTTTCTGTGGAAGATTTATAAAATAGGTATTAATTTGAATATCTAAACCAAAATACAAACGAGTTATAAATACAAATGAAATACATTTAGTATGATAGTCAAGAATCTATAGTATGGGTAGTGAACGAAAATAGATTATAGTTACAATTATATAGCAAGATATTATCATTGAGATAATAAATATTGCGATGCCATGATACAAAGCTTATAGATTAGTTGAAAACATTTTAAAATACTTGTGCATTGGGTAAAAGAGAGCTTACAACGAATTATACTATATCATATTATATCTTATGCTTAAATGTGCATTAGTTAAATGTAAAACTATTTCTTGGGCAGTGCCTCCTCGTCCGTGGGATCACAGTCGGCACAGTGCCAGGAGTATCCCCGAATTTTCGGCGATTTCTTTAGTGGCGGTTCGAGGCAGGCGAAATGATAGTGTTTATGGCATTCATCACAAGTCACAACCTGATTGGCTTTAGCTGTTTGCTGGCAGACACAGCAATTGATCTCAACATTGGCCTTGGGAGTGGATACGCGTGGTCTGCCCACACGCTGTTTGCGTGGCGTCGACTTCCGAGGACTGACCTTGCGCTGTGGTGAGGGCGTCTCTGGAGCCAGTTTCGGCTCCTTAACGGCTTTTTGTGGCGTTATTATGGTAGGCATCACGACGACAGGGGCAGCTGGCTGCTCTGGTTGGATGACATCCTCAACTGTTTCCACGGAGGTAGGACGTGATGCCTCGTCCACAGAGCGCACCGCATTGGCGGGCACATAAAAGCTGCGCGACTCGGGCGCATCTTCGCCGGGCAAGCGCAACGTTTTAAATATGATTTTAATAGGTCGCCCGGAGTTTGCATTATCCAGCGTACTCTCATCGGCATGAGCGCGCTTCTTACGCTTCCGCTTGTGTTCCTTGCTGAAAGATTTCTCGGTATCCGATGATAAGTTGTGCTTGTTTTTATGCTTATCCTTGCGCTTGCCCTTCCGCGATGATTGCTTGCCACTGGAATCATCAATGGAATCCTCACAGCCAGACAGATGGGAGATATTTGGCGCTTGGGGAATCGTAAGGTCTATGTGGGCAACTGTTTGAACTGCAAGGGAAGAATATTATTAAAATGGATAACAGTCGGTCAAAAATATAGATTCCTACCATTCACAGGGGTCTTCCTTGGGGACTGCATCTTGGCGCGCTTTGGCGACTTGCTAAAATCATCGCTAGTTTCAATGGCTGCAGGCATGGTTTTGTTAAGCCCTCGTTTATGATGCTGAGGCGCCTCTTTGGGCACATCGTCCAGTGAGTAACGATCAACATAGACCAAATGCCCATCCTTGTTGAAGCGCGTGCGCGATTTACGCGGCCCTGGTGAGATTTCAGTCACCGCATCAGACACATCCGATTTGTCACAACACTCGGAGCACTGCCAGCCATACAGCTTGGATTTCTTGGGCGGACGCGTTAGCGGTGGATTCAAGCAGCCCAAATGATAGTGCAGGTTGCAAGTGTCGCACTTCACAAGCAAATGCTGATCATTATTGCGCTTGCAGATGCCACAGCTAACGGCGGGCGCAATGGTGGATGCCTTACTAGAGTTCATATGGGATTGCTGGGTACTCAGCATGCGGGAATTGTCCAGCTTATTGCCCAAGTGGGCAAGAGGAAAACCAACGCCCATCTTCAGAGCTGCCGCAGTGGGCACAGAAATGGGTCGTTGTGGTGGTGTCGCCACCTTAGGCAGCTGTTCCGGCAACGGGCGTGCAATGCGATCTACGGGTGGTAAACTCAGAGCGGGACAAAGCTGCGACAAGCTGCTATGCAGCGATTTGATGGACGCGACCAAAGCATCACGCGTAGCCTTTACCTGCTTGCGCTCCTCCAAGGCATTATCATACTTGGCGCGCAGCACATCCTGCGCCTGACTCAACGCGGCATTGTGCTGMACGAGCTGCTGCTGCTGTTGCTTAAACTCCGCCATGCGAACAATCCGATCCATATAATAAGCCGTGAACTCAACACTAAACGCTGGAGCTATATGCCATTTTTTGCGTATGTCCTGGAGCGCCTGTATGTGTGCTTCGCGCTGCTCCAAGTGCTGCACATCGACGGCCATGAACTCCGCCTTGGCCAACAGACGACGGCAGGCCGAAGCCGAGCTGGTTAAAAGACGTGACATCTTTTGTGTGGGAACCCATGGTGTTGGCTTCATTTGCTTGTGCTGCGCATATTTTTGCTGTATCTTCAAAAGCTTCCGTTGAATACGCGCCTGTGCTGGATTTGGATTAGCGTCGATTAACGGCTGATTGGCCTCGAGCAGAGCTCTCTGCTTGGCCTGCTGCAGCATATTGAGGCGCAGAGTGTGATAGTTGCGGCGACGTTTCTTGATCATTTCTTTCTCCGAGTGCACCTTGCAGTGGGCGTAAAAGGGATCCGCCGCGTCATCCTCGTGATGTGCCTCGATCAGATAACCGGCGACTTGTGCGCATGTGACATGGAAATACGTTTTGCACATGCCCGCATCGCAACCGATGCACACGCCGGTGCGTGCAAAGAGCGCATTGTCGCACAGCGAGCACAACTTGGCGCCCCACTTGCTGTACTGCATCTCAAACAACGTCACCGAGCTGAGCTGTTCCACCTCACCGAAAGCCACGCCCGGCACATATAGAGCACATATCAAATGCACCCATTTCCCCACATCTGTTTCCTTGTATATACCACCCTTGTTGGGGCACAGCTCACAGTCCGGCTCCGTGACGCCTGCACGACAAGCCTCACAGAACCAGGGCTCGGTGGAGCAGGTGGAATTCGTGCTGGAGATACTCACATTGTCGCTAACGCCGTAGCAGCCCTCGTGCACAGAGACACCACACGAATCACATTCGACAATTTCGTTGACATCGTCACTGCGTTCGCCCAGACACACGCAGCACATACGCTTTGGCGGGGCCAGTGGTTCCGCATTGAAGCCATTAACACGAGGCACCGGCACTAGAGCGAGCTGTGCGGGTGCATCAGCTGCCGGTTGTGTTGTTGCGTCCTGCTGTGTGTTGTTGTTGCTCTCAGCTAGCAGCTGGCGCAATTGCAGCGTGGAATCATCACTGTCATCGCCAGAATTGCCATCTGCATCGCTGTCGCTGTTATCGCTGCTGCTGCTAGCGTCGCTGCTGTCGCCATCGCCGTCGCTTTCGTCCTTTGAGCCATCCGAGCAATTGTCTATGTCTGGCAAAAAATCACTGTCTGATGAGCTTTCACCCAAATCAAAGTCGAGCAACGCTTGTGTTGTTATTTTTGGCTGGCGTACCCGTTTAAACGGCGCCATTGAAATAAAATTGCTCTTCTTGTCGCAAAATGCAAGAAAAATCGTGCACCGTAATAGAGCTGAAAGTCTTTCGATAAATATTATCGTATGCAAACCATCGATATAAACACATCTCTCCAAATTTGGCATTGGTAGACGATTTGATTATTGTTGCCAGCTCATCCAGCTATCGGTAAATCTAGCTTTTTTATTCCATATAAACAATAACCACATAACATTTACTCCGTTTCTCTTAAAGAGATTATGATTATTTTTTTACAAGATAATTAATAAACAAATAAAAATACCATATGAAATATACAAAGTGCATACATTAAAATGCGCTGGCTTCAGTGCTGCCAGCTTAGCCAATTCCCGTCAAATCTAGCTTTAAAAATACAAAATCCAAATTTTTTCAAATTTTAAAAATAAATTTTATTGTGGTAATTAATTAACTCTAAAAGACCTCCAATTGCTCTATGGGCAACCATTTGGAGCTCTCCAAAGCATCATACAGATGACGATCTGAATCGATAGTCTCTCTATTGAGTTTATCCACATCTAGTACATACTTATGATCCTCCAGCCCATAATCATCTTCAACGGCGGCAGTGCCGTTAGGTGCGRTAGTCTGCTGTTGTTGCTGCTGCTGCTCATATTGGGCGCTGCGCTGTGCGCTCCACGCCTCGGCGTGCTGAGCAAGAGTCTGCGGATTTGAGTGGGATTGTGACATCGCCTGTTGATAGTAGGCGGCAGCATCGGTTATTGAAGGCGCTGCGCCCTGTTCATAATAGCCCTGCCAGGCATTGTAGCCCTGCCAGTAGGTGCTGGTCGGGTCGTAATATTGCGAATAATCAGTGCCGCCTGCACTTGTTGACGACGTGGACGTAGTGCTGGATCCACCGTAGCCATAGGTGTTGCTGCCATTGCCCAGTGCAGCGTTTAGCTCAGCCTTGGGCTTGGGCACCGCATTGCAGATCTTAATGGGCTTGGTGCCTAAGCCAACATAGCCATTCATATCGTATAGCGCCGACTTTTGCTCATCCTCAATGCCAAAGCGCACAAAGCCGTAGCCTTTAGAGAATCCCAGACTGTCCAGGATCACTTTGGCTGTCTTGATCGATGTGTATTTGCTGGAGAAGACCTTGTACAAGGAGTAGTCATCCACGTCTGAGCTGAGATCACCTACCCAAACACTGAATTCACGCTCATTGCCAGGCAATTTATACGAATTGCTCGCCGAGTTCAGTCTAAATCGTACAATGGGATTCGTGCCAGGTATGGGTTTTCCATTTAATTTGTGCATGGCATCCAGAGCATGATCGTCTGATATGAAATTGACGAAGCAATAGCCCGCCGGCTCGCCTGTGTATTTATTACGCATCAGACGCACGGTTGTTGGATCTTCACCCATTTTGCGAAATGCTGCAATTATGAAATTTTCCGTCATGTACGGTTCCAG